CTTCCAGCCTTCTGGTTAGCAGTCAAATGCCTTAGGCACTATGCCAAGACAAGCTGGGCATTTGTAAAGTTATGAATGGCTTGGCATCTGACATAACTCTCAATTGAGTGTGAATAATTTCCATTTTTCATGAAAAATCTGAGTTGTATTTGAGATTGCTTTTGTTCTAGATAGTAAAAAGTCCCTAGTACTAGGCAGCATGAGGATTTTATATAAACTAAGGTTTTAAAATGAGTGTTTTCATTTTGTGGAAAGTAACGTATGCATGTATATCCAGATGTCTTTGCTAAGTATATAGAGTTTAAACAATGTGGGTGAGCACTGTTATTGGTGAAACCTCTAGGGAACTGCAGGAAGGGTGGTGTTTTGAGCCATGTGCTTTACCTTACATATGTATATTAGTGGACATGCCCACATGCATATGACCCCCCACACATAGAAACATTCATGAATACAAGTTGACATGCACACACATTCCTTCAAATTGTTTTTTTTTTGTTGTTGTCATTGTTGTTTCAATTGGCTGCTTTCAACACTGTCATTGTGATGTACCTGATGAATTCTGTTTAGCTCTTAGATGGTAGCCTCTGGAATAACGACATCTATAGTATTAATAGTCTCTTGAGACAGCAAAATGCTCTAAATACTCCTTGGTAAGAGTCATATCAGTTGGAGAGGCTTGCTTCCAGAAACACAGAAACATACTTGTGGGATTGTCTGTTTTTATGCTCACAAACAGGAGGCTGATAGATTTTCTGTTTCTCCCAAATTTGGCAGTCATTTTGAAGACAAACCTGGAATGAATAGTAAATTGTTCCATACACACTCTCCTTCTCTCCCCCACCTCACTGGTGGAAAACAGCCTTAGCTACTCAGCTTTCCTTCTCAATTTTTCAGCATCATTAATTCCATGGAAAATGTAAATATGAATAAAACCGCATCCGTGCCCCTAAGAGGAACAAATGAAGCGGGACAAAGTTTTCAGACAAGTAAACTCATTTTAAAGGTAAAAAAATAAAGTACATCAGAAACTGAAGTTTGGGAGACTGTTGAGATCACTTTTAGGTAATTATAATGGACTCCTTTCTGGTCTTTATCCTAATAAAATGGGTGGGAAAATTTCAAAAAGTACTGTTTTCTGGTGGTGTAGTGCCTAAGGCATTTGACTGCTAACCAGGAGACAGTTGGTTCAAACCCACCAGCCACTCCACGGAAGGAGGATTGGGCAATCTATTTCCATAAAGATACCACCTTGGAAACCAAAAGAGGAGTCTCTATGAATTGGAAACGACACCACAGCAGTGAGTTTGGTTTTTGGTTTGGTACTTAATAGTCTGAAAAAACACTGCTCTACTGTAGTCTTCCAATCCCTGGCCCAGATTAGAGCACACAATTTCATATAAAACCAAAAAATCATACTCACTGCCATGGAGTCGAGTCCAACTCAGAATGACCCCTCCTTGGGTTTCCAAGGTGGTATCACTACGGAAGTAGAATCTCTCATGGGCTTGATAAAATCTTCATCGTTTTATCTGCCACTTACTGGTCACTGGCTACCACAGTATACCTCACTAATCACATTAGTTTTGATATTTGGAATTTGACCAAACTACAGCTTAACTCTGAAGACTGGCAGTTCAAACCCATTAGCCACTCCTCAGAAGGAAGATGGGGCAATCTACTTCGCAGTGATTGTTGTTATGTTGTTGTTATGTGCCGTCGAGTCAGCCCTGACTCATAGCGACCCCTCCTTGGGTTTCCGAGGCAGTATCACTACGGAAGTAGGATTGCCCAACCTTCCTTCCGAGGAGTGGCTGATGGGTTTGAACCACCAGCCATCTGGTGAGCAGTCAAGTGCCTTAGCCACTATGTGCCTCGGAAACCCAAGAAGGGGTTACTATGAGTCAGGTCCGACTCGACGGCACATAACAACAGCAACAACAGCAGCAGAAGCTTAACTCAGGCATACATTTTGGGACTTTATTGATGTCATTATTAAAGGCTATACAGTTTCAAGGAGCTCTGGTGGCCTAGTGCCTAAGGCATTTGACTGGTAACCAGAAGGCTGGTAGTTCAAATCCACCAGGCACTCCTCAGAAGGCAGACTGGGCAATCTACTTCCATAGAGATACCTCCTCGGAATCCATGGCAGTGAGATTTTTTTTTTTTTTTTTTTATACAGCTTTCAAAATAATCATCATGCAAAGATATAAAATATATCTGTCAGTCAGCAATCGTTATATGTTCTATTGTGTCTCTTCTGTGGAAAAATTAAACAAAGTCATAGGAACTTACTCTTAACAATACTTTCTCATGAGAACATTACCCCAGAGCTTAAAAGAACAAACATTTGTTCTTTCCCAAAGTTTCTGAAGGTCAGGAATCCAAGTATGACTTGGCTGGGTGGTTCTTGTGCAGGGTCTCTTCTGAGGCTGCAGTCAAGTTGTTGCCTATAGCATGGTCATCTGAACTGTCAACTGGGAAGGACCCACTCCCAAATTTACTCATGTGGGTGTTGGAGACCTTAGTTCCTCACTATGAGTTTCTTCATAAACCGCTTGAGTGTCTTCACAACATGACATTTCTCTTTCTCCTGCATGAGTGATCTAAGAGAGAGAAAACAAGTCTAAGACAGAAATGGCAGTCTTTTGTAACCTGGTCTCAGAATTGTCATTCTCCCATTTTCTATTGGTGACGTAGACCCTGGTACATTGTAGGTAGGGACCACATAAAGATGTGAATCCCAGGCAACTGTATCGTTAGGACTTTTGGAGGCTGGCTTCTATACCTGTTTGGGTGCAGTTTTTAAGTAAGTGAGTGAATTTGTATAGTCATAAGAAATCCTCACCATTTTTTTTAAACTAAGATACCTTTCCTTCCAGTTTTCATTTCTTTCCACAAACCTTCATAGCCCTGATAATGAAATACATAGGCATCTGCCTGCAGTAGTTACCTCCTGCCCAACAGACAAAGAATATCATAAGACTCCAAATTAAAACTGAAAAAGAAAAACCAGTATTATTAATAAGGGTGTCTGGCTTGGTGTCTCATTTCTTTTAAACTTGACGCATTTGTTCCCCATTTATTTTCTTGGCATGTGTAAGTATAAAATGTGTTTATTATTGGGGCTATTCTCTGGTGGTGTAGTGCCTAAGGCATGTGACTGCTAACCAGAAGGCTGGTGGTTCAAACCCACCAGTCACTCCTTGGAAGGAAGATTGTGCAATCTACTTCTGTAAAGATACCGCCTCAGAAACCCAAGGAGGGGTCGCTATGAGTTGAATTGACTCAATGGCAGTGAGTTTGGTTTTTTGTTTTGTCTAGAGGGGTAAAAATTACCAGAGAAACTCAGTGTCTCAGGGTGTGCATTAAGAACCACCATGAATCCAATTCCTAAAATGTGTATAGTAATCCTGTCTTCACATTCCCACTTCTGGGAATGTGCCAGCTCTCCCCGCAATATTCTCTCTCTCTCTGTGACCATAGGTGTCTGGTACAAGGTCAGAACTCATAAGTTAAAAGGACACCATCCTTCAGACTACCCAAGAGGCAGAAAGCTGCAGGTTTGGGAGCCTGCGGGACACACTCCTTTAAGAGCACACTATCCTTCAGACTACCCAAGAGGCAGATGTCAGAGATAAGTTTGAGGATTGCACAGGACACCTCAACTTTCTGACCTTCTAGTCTCTGGTGGCATAGTGCATAAGGCATTTGACTGCTAACTAGAAGGCTAGCTGTTCAAACCCACCAGCCACTCCTCGGAAGGAAGGTTGGGCAGTCTGTTTCCATAGTGATACCGCTTTGGAAACCCAAGGAGGGGTCACTATGAGTCGGATCTGACTCGACAGCAGTGAGTTTGGTTTTTTTTTTTTTTAATCAGGTTTGGGCTGGTTTCTCACTACCCTTGCAGGATGCCATCTGTAACCTCAGGAGTCCACATGACACCCTTACTTTCTGACCTACTAGCTTCCACTGCCCCTTTGGGTGTGATAATTGATTGGAATGACTCACAGAATTCATGGAGAGTTTGCCATGCTTATGATTACAGATTAATTATAGCCAAAAAGGATACACATAGAGATACATAGGGTGAGGTCTGAGAGCGTTCCCAGTGCAGAGCTTCCAGTGCCCCAAAGGACATGCTACCCTCCTGAGAACAGATATTTTTTGCCAAGCAGAAAGTCCTCTGTGCCTTAGTCTTCTGGGCTTTTATGGACTAGCCTCCTAAGACTAGTTTATATCAGCCTCCCAAGTGAGACTTTTCTGGTATGGCTAGCCCTTCACTTGCCAGCACAAATTCTCAGGTGTGGCCTGGAAGTCCCAGACCAGAGCACCCCAATTATTCCAGTGCTTATTTCTCTGGAACCAAGGACAAAGGCCACATTAGGGTAAAACTAAGAAGCTCTGGTGGTGTTGTGGATAAGATACTTGACTGCTAACTGGAAGGTCAGCAGTTCAGACCTACCAGCTGCTCCATGGAAGGAAGACAGGGAAATCTACTTCCGTAAAGATTTACAGTCTTGGAAATGACTCAATGGCAGTTTTTTGTTTTTGGTTTTTAGGGTAAAACTTGATCTTTTACCCTACATATACATACCAAAAAAAAAAAAAAAAAAACCTGCCATCAAATTGATTCTGACTTATAGTGACCCCCCTTGGTTTTCCAAGGCAATAAATCTTTACAGAAGTAGATTGCCCCATCTTCCTTCTGTGGAGTGGCTGGTGGGTTTGAATGACCATCCTTCTGGTTAGCAGTCAAATGCATTAGGTACTGCACCACCAGAGCTCTCCCATGTGTTATATCTTTAAGGGAGCCTTTCTACATCATTTCGCTAATTAACTGCTCCATGTAGCTATGAGAATGATCTCCTAATTTCCAAAGAAAAGTTGACTTTCCTTGGCATGACTATTGGTTAGTGAGTAATGGGTATGGGAAGAACTACTGGCCCTTTTGGTCACTGTGACTTGGGTGTTTAAATGAATGTCTTTCTTATTTTCAGGCAGGTATCAGTGGCCCAGGGCAGCGTGTCTGTGTTATAGATGAAATTGGGAGAATGGAGCTCTTCAGTCAGACTTTCATACAAGTTGTTCATCAGACACTGTCCACCCCAGGAATCATAGTCCTTGGAACAATACCAATCCCTAAAGGAAAACCACTGGCACTTGTGGAAGAAATAAGAAACAGAAGCGACATCAAGGTGTTTAACGTGAGTTCAGCTAGTCCTCCATATGTGTGAAAATGATAACAGATAACCTAAAATGACAGATTTAACAGATGTATCCTTGGCTTTGAATTTCCAATGTTTTCCCTCTTATGCTGGATATAGGTGAGTCTGACTTTCTAGGAATTTATAGCACGTAAATCAGGTAATACTTCTACTTGATAAAAACTAGTGCCTCTAGGGGAGCTGCCTGCCCTGTCAGCTGCTCTGGCTACATTCTTCTGCCGCTCCCTCCAGACATCATGACCTCTCAGGCAGTCAGAACTATCCAAGCAACTGATAGTCTTGTTCAAAGCTTTTATCTTCCAAGGCAGTACAGATTGGAGTCAAGTTCTAGGTGTCAGATTGCAATACAGAGGCATATATGCATTGTTTCTCAAACCTTTTGCCTTTTAAGCAAACTCACTTCAGCAGAGACAGTGGGTGTGGTTTGAAGCACTGTTTCCAAATACTGAGGGTTAAGACTTACTCCATAGACACTTTCCCTCTGTCCCCAGCCCACCAGTGAAGGACAGCATTAGCTGCTCCAGCTTTCTTTTTCTCAACTTTGCAGCATCACTCATGAGTAGCTCTGTTCTATAGAACTTTCTATGATGAGGGAAATGTGCTCTCTAGTACATTAACCACCAGCTGCATGTGACTATTTAAGTTTAAATTAATTTAAATTAAACTAGAATTCAGTTCTTGAATTACACTAGACACATTTAAGTGCTCAATAGCCACATGTGACTGACTGCTACATTGGGCAGCACAGCTATAGAGCCTTGCTACTCCAAATGAGAGCTGCAGAACAGCAGTATAGCATTAGCTGGGAGCTTTTGAGAAGTGCAAATTTCTGTGTTTTACCAAGCTCTCAGGTGGCTCTTAATGCTTTTGCAGTTTGAGAAAAACTGCTGTAGACCACATGAGAGAGAGCAATAATTTAGGCATATTAAGCACTGGCTTGACTGAGACAGTTATAAAGAACTCTTGTAGCACTCACTGTTGGCACTTTACGTAAGTCCTTGTATTTATTTCCCCATTATCTTTCCATGTCCATCTCAGTTAGATACTGTTTTGCCCTGTTCCACCTTCGTTTGTGCCATCGATAGCCATGCTCTTTGCTGAGCTCTCCTCATACCCCACACCCTCCAATCCCTAGTTTTAAAGCTTACTGACCCTGCAAATTCCAGGTGACTAAGCCAGACAGGCAGGGCCACTCCTATCATGGTATGTAGAAACTGAGCCCTAGCTGCAAAGTACCAGTGAGTATATTACATCATTGGTTAAAATATCAGCATTACTAGGTTTCCCTAGTATGGCATCTATACATTGTCTACAAAGTATGCTGAATTATAGAAAAACTTCAAAACTTAGAAAAAAGTCTTCTAAATTATTCTGTTTGGTGAATAGTGTGGTTAAAAAACTCTGGTGGCATAATGCCTAAGGCATTTGACTACTAACCAGAAGGCTACAAACCCACCAACCAGCCACTCCTTGGAAGGGAGATTAGGCAATCTACTTCCGAAGAGATAACTGCCTCAGAAACCCAAGGAGGGGTCACTATGAGTCAAATAGACTCAATGGCAGTGATTTTATTTTACATTCTGCTAGGACAGCTGGATAACAAAAATGTAAACAAATTAGGCAATTTTAGATATTGAAAAATGATGACAATAAATGACGCAACAAATGAGAACAATGTGATAGGTTTAGAGGCAGGCGTTGTAGGAGTGTTCAGCATTAGCATGGTCAGAGAGGGCCTCTCTAAGGAAGCATCATTTGAGCTGAGATCTGAGAACCATACAAGAGTCACATTCTCCTTGACCTCTTGGTAAAATCTCTGGGGCCTTTGTCTTTAAGGTGTTAGGTTGCCTTTTCTCTCTCTTACTTCTTTTGGCCTCTATGTTAGAGTTTTTGTTTGTGATTCTGGAGTTTCTGTAAAGATAAAGGCAATGAATAGTGAAACAAAATTAATTTTCAAGTCAGATAGCTTCTAAGCTGGAAGACTGGAAAATTGCTAGTGTTAAACCACCAGGGACTGGCTATCTCTGCAAACTAATCCAGAAGTCCTAAGGAAGGGTTGAAGCATGTTGACTGTTATGTCCAGAAATAAGCATTTTATCTTAAGATAATACATTTTCTCTTCTCTGTAGAAGAGTAGAGATTATTCTCAAGGCAAGGTAATCATTGCTTCTAATGATCTGTAAATGAAGTGATTAGTGTTGTGTTAATTACGTAAGATATACCCCATTATTGTCTTTATTGTGTTCCTTTGAGGTTTGTGTGCTGTTTCTGTTTTTATTTTTTAAATGAAGAGCTTATATTGTATCTGAAAATTTAGGGGTTGGATTAGATATGGTCTTGGGTTCTTTTCATTTTTAATACTTTGTAAAATATCTGAATCCACTTTTGAGAGCCTCCTTTGCATCTAAGCACTTAATCTGTAGTACCATACTCATGTGAAGCATTTTCTCCTCCCTCAAGAAAAACAGATCATGAGATAGTTAAGATCTGGGGCAGAGAAGGTAGACTGTGTATGAGAAGAAGGAGTGGAGAGAGATGTCCCAAAGTAATGGTCCCAAAATGGTTCTTGGGTGGTTCTTTGAAGGAGGAGGTGGAGGAAAGAAGGGAGAACATTCTAGGTAATGAAATAAGCAGTGTAAATGTATGCAGAGCAACCATCCTTTGCTACTAGGTGAGCACACATGATATGGAAATGGGACTGAGCTCATGATCTAGGGGAGTGTGCACCACACAAAGTTATTAATATTATTTAGGCTTACTGTTAATAGTGTCAGGCAAACAGACTTTACTTTTCAGAAGAGCATCTGAGCAGACTTCTAGCTATGGACAAGGTGGGGTAGATGCACTTCTTCCTATTCATTTCACTGTTGTTGTTCTTATATGCCACTGAGTTGGCTCCCACTCATAGCAACCCTGTGTATAGCAGAACGAAACACTGTCTGGTCATGCACCATCCTCACAGTCCTTGCTATACCTGAATCCATCACTGTAGCCACTGTGTCAATCCATCTAGTTCAGGGTCTTCCCCTTTTTCACTGACCCTCTACTTTCCCAAACATGATACCTTCTCCAGGGAATGGTCCCTTCTGACAACATGACCAAAGTAGGTGAGGAAAAGCCTGTCCATTCTTGCTTCCAAGGAACATTCTAGCTGCACTTCTTCCAGGACAGATTTGTTAATTTTTCTGGCAATCCATGGTATTTTCAGTATTCTTTGCCAAAACCACAACTCAAAAGCATCAACTCTTCTTTGATCTTCTTTATTCATTGTCCAGCTTTCACATGCATATGAGGCAATTGAAAATAGTATGGCTCTTTGCTCTTCAGCACTTTAAAGAGGTCTTCTCAGCTAAATTCTTTGGGCATGATGTATGAAGCAGAAGACTGTGAAAAGTGCAGAGAAGGGAACAGACTGTCTAAGCACCTCAGGACTCAGGGAATGATATGGCAGATACAATGTAAAATCAGTTTTCATACCAAGAATGAGGAAAATCTCAATGTGAATGAGAAAAGACAATTGATGCCAACACCAGCATGATACAAGTGTTGGAATTGTTTGGCAACCATTTTAAAGTAGCCATCATAAAAATGCTTCATTGACCCATTACAAATATACTTTCAACAAATGAAAAATAGAAAGCTAGCAAATAAATTGAAAATATTAGCTGAACAAACAGGATACAAAGAGGAATCAACTGGAAATTTAGAACTGAAGAATACAATAACTAACAAGTCACAAAACTGAAATAACAAGTCACAGGATGGGCTCATTAGCAGAATGGAGATGACAGAGAAAAGACTCATCAATCAACTTGACAGTAGAAATTACCCAATTTGAACCACAAAGAGTGAAATGAGCAAAAATGAAGAGAGTTTCAGAGATCTGTGGGACTGTAACAAAAGATCTGACATTCATGTCACTGGAGAGTCTCAGGAGGAAGATGGTGGGGCTGAAAGTCGTATTTGAAAAATAAGGGTGGAAATTTCTCATATTTGGCAAGAGTCATAAACTTACATATTCAAGAAGCTGAATGAACATGAAGTAGGCTAAGACCAAAGAAATCCATACTAAGATACATCTGAGTCAAATGTCTGAAAACTAAAAAAAAAAAAGAAAATTTCTTGAAAGCAGCAAGAGAGAAATGATACCTTACTTATGGAAGAAAAACAATTTGAATAACAGTGGATTTCTCTTCAGAAACTATGGAGGTGAGAAGGAAGTGGCATAATGTTTTCAAACGTTGAGTAAGAAGGCCTGCCAACTCATAATTTTATATCCAATAAAAAATATCCTTCAAGAATAAAGAGGGGAAATAAAACATTCAGAGATAAGGAAAACTAAGAGAAGTTGTCACCAGTGGTTCTACTTTAAAAGTGTGGCTAAAATCAAGTTCACTGAATAGAAAAGAAATAAAAAGGAATCTTGGAACATCACCATAGCATGGATAAATACAGTAGACTTTTGTTCTCCAAATTTTCCAAATGATCTTTGACACTTGAAGCAAATATAACATTGTCTGGTGTGTTCTCAAGAAAGGAAGAGGGGAAGGGAAGGGGACAGAAAAAGAAATAAAAGCAAAGAAAAGCACTTGAGAAGGAAAGTAAAAGTCTCACTGAAAAAAACCTTTGAGCTTTCTTACCCTATTCACTGAAGAACTTGGTTGTAGATTGTTTTCAATAACCTATTTAGTAAATGAATAGGTGATTCATAAGGAAAACCTTATGAATAGCACTGAAACATTGTCTGATATAGTGCTGGAAGATGAGCCGCTCAGGTAGGAATGTACTCAACATATGACTAGGGAAAACCTACCTCCTCAAAGTAGAAATGACCTTAATGAGCTGAATGGAGTAAAGCTTTGGAGACCTTCCTTTGCTGATGTGGGATGACTCAAAGTGAGAAGAAATAGTTGCAAACATCTATTAATAATCAGAACATGGTGTGTATGAAGTATGAATCTAGGAAAATTGGAAGTAGTCAAAAATGAAATGAAACACATAAAGCTGGATATCCTAGGCATTAGTGAGCTGAAATGAACTGGTATTGGCCATTTTGAATCACAAGAATTATATGGTCTACTATGCCAAGAATGACACATTGAAGAGGAATGGTGTCATATTCATCCTCAAAAAGAACATTTCAAGATCTATCCTCATGTATAATGCTGTAGAGATAGGATAATATCATATGCTTATCAGGAAGACAAGTTTATACTATTATTACTCAAATTTATGCACCAACCACTAAAGCCAAAGATGAAGAAATTGAAGATTTCTACTAACTTCTGCACTCTAAAATTGATCAAACATACAATAAAAATGCATTGATATTACTGGTGGCTGGAATGAGAAAGTCGGAAACAAAGAAGCAGCATTGATAGTTGGAAAATACAACCTTGGTGATAGAAATGACACCAGAGATCTTATGATAGAATTTTGCAAGAACAGCATCTTATTCATTGCAAATATCATGTTTAAACAACACAAAGCGTGACTGTACACATGGACCTCACCAGATGGAACACACAGGAATCCAGTTGACTACATCTATGGAAAGAGACGAAGGGGAAACTCAATATCATTAGTCAGAACAAGGTCAGGGGTAGACTGTGGAACAGATCATCAATTACTCATATGCAAATCTAAGTTGAAGCTGAAGAAAATTAAAACAACCTTACAAGAGGCAAAATATAACTTTGAGTGTGCCACACCTGAATTTAGAGTCCATGTGAAGAATAGATTTGATGAAGACTAGTGATCAAAGACCCAATGAGTTGTGGAAAGACATCAAGGACAAAACACATGTAGAAAGTAAAACGTCGTTGAAAGGAGAGGAGAGGAAAAAAAAAAAAAAAAAAAGACCAAAATAGATGTAAGAAGAGACTCTGAAACTTGCTTTTGAATGGAGAGTATCTAAAGAAGATAGAAGGAATGATGAGATAAAATAGCTGAATGACAGATTTCAAAGGGCGGCTCAAGGAGGCAGAGTAACTTATAATGAAATGTGCAAAGACCTGAAATTAGAAAACTAAAAGGGAAGAACGTGCTTGCCATTTCTCAAGCTGAAGGAACTGAAGAAAAAATTCAAGCTTTGAGTTACAGTATTGAAGGATTCTATGGGCACCATATTGAACAATACAGGAAGCATCAAAAGAAGATGAACGTAATACAGAGTCACTGTACCAAAAAGAATTGGTTGACATTCAGCCATTTTAGGAAGTAGTATGTGATCAAGAGCTGATGGCACTGAAGGAAGAAGTCTAAGCTGTCCTGAAGGAATTAGTGAAAAACAGGTTTCCAGGAATTAACGGAATACCTACTGTGAGATGTTTCAACAGATGGGTGCAACATTGGAAGCCCTCACTTGTTTACACTAAGATTTGGAAAATAGCTACTTAGCAAACTGACAGGAAGAGATCCCTATTTGGGCCCATTCCAAAGAAAGGTAATCCAACAGACTGCAGAAATTATTGAACAATATCATTAATAGTACACACAAGAAAAAAATGTTGCTGAAAATTTAAAAAGCATAGTAGCAGTACATAGGGAACTTGCAGAGAGATTCATTCTGGCTTCAGAAGTATGAGGGATGTTGTTGCTGATGTCATATGGATTTTGGCTGAAAGCAAAGAATATCAGAAAGGTGTTTCTTGTATATTATTGACTGTGAAAAGACATTCGATTGTGTGAATCGTAACAAATTATGGATAACATTGCTAAGAATGGGAGTTTCAGAACATTTACTTGTGCTTATGAGTAATCTGTGCATAGACTAAGAAGTAGTTTGGACAGAACAAGGGGATACTATATGCTTTAAAATCAGGAAAGTTGTGCATTAAGGTTGTATCCTTTCACCTTACTTATTCAATCTGTATGCTGAGCAGATAATCCAAGAAGCTGGACTATATGAAGAAGAACGTGGTGGTAGGATCAGAGGAATACTCATTACTAACCTGAAATATGCAGATGACACAACCTTGCTTGCTGAAAATGAAGATGACTTGAAGCACTTAACTAATGAAGATCAAAGACTACAGCTTACAGTATGGATTATACCTCAACATAAAACTAAAATCCTCACAAATTGTGAAGGTTATCTTTTTACTTGTATCCTCAATCAATGCCCATGGAAGCAACAGTGAAGAAATTAAACATATCACACTGGACAAATCTTCTATAAAAG